GGATAAATCAGTAAATATTGATATATGATCGATTCCATAATATTCGAGGCTTGTCAATTTTGATAAGATGACATCATAATTGAGGTTGTAGATGAGGGTGGCAATGAAGATGACATCATACCTCATGAGGTTGCAGAAGAGGCTGGCAATGAAGATGACATCATAATTGAGGTTGCAGATGAAAATGGTGATTAGGAATCCGACGACAATGATGTGTTTGTCCCTCCAACTCCATGGAAGAGGTTTCTCATGCTAATTGAACAGGTAACTGTCATATAAACATATATATATAAATATATATATATATATATATATATATATATATATATATATATACATATATATATATATATATATATATATATATATATATATATATATATATATATATATATATATATATATATATATATATATATATATATATATATATATATATATATATATATATATATATATATATATATATATATATATATATATATATATATATATATATATATATATATGTATATGTGTGTGTGTGTGTATTTTTTTTATTAGTTTTTTTTTCCTAATTCGGGATTAAAATATCCCGATCGGGATTGAACCAATTCCCTAATATCGATCCCGTATTTGTTCCTAATCCCAATCCCGTAATCCCGAATTCCCGAAGTTTTAGTCCCAAATAGTAAAATTCCGATCGGGACGGGACGGGATCCCGAATCCCGATCCCAAATGCCCAGCCCTAGTGCTAAATAGAAGTAATGGAAGTTTGACCATTATTACATCAACAAATTAAATTTTGGGTAAATTACGGCCAATCCTCATATAATGTCAAATTAAAAAAAAAAAAAAAAACCCTCATGTTTGGGTATTTACAACCACCCCTCAATTATGAATTTTCTTACACGTCTATTTTTACGGTGTTAAATTTAATGGAATCTTTTAGATTATGTGGATTATTCTCCATTTTGTACCCGTTTTACCCTATTCGAGCTCCACATTTTGAAACAAGATGATCATAAAAACTTGCCTCTTGTAATGCATACGAAACTGTATTTTTGCACAAAACGAGTACAAATTAGAAAATATTTCACGAAATCTAGAAGATTCCACACGCACAAAGTTATCTGACGTGAATCATTAAAGTTGCGTGTGCACTTGAAAAGCAAAAATGAGAATGTGATATGCAAATGAAGCGTTACATATAAATATTTATTCAATTTCACTTTTCCTCTTGTATGGCTCGACATCACTGTACCCCTTCTACTCTTAATTGCATCGATTTGTCCCTCTGTACTTGAAATTTTTTCTCAATGTGGCCCACGTTGTTAGTTTTCAGACCTTTGACATTAACACCGATTGATCTAAGTCTGAAAATTACAAAAAAGTCACCCCACCCAGTTTAAATAAATTAAAAAAAAAAATTGTGGTTGGTATCGTGGACTATGTTTTCTCGTTGTCTTGAATTTTTTATTATTTTACTTTTTATTTTTTTTCATAATTATTTAAACTGAGAGAGGTATTTTTTTGTAATTTCAGAGTTTAGATCAAACGGTGTTAATGTTTAAATATATGACAAATAAGGGTCATATTGAGACAATTTTGTAAGTGCAGGGGACAAAGCAATGCAATCGAGAGTAAAAGAGAGTAAAATGATAACGAGTCAAAGTACAAGGATGAAAGTGAAATTTAGCCATAGATATATTAACATGCGGCAGAAACGGGGCGGTACAATTAAAACGTTTTACTCAACATATAATTTAACATATTTCCTCGCACACATCATTATCACAAAATATTATATTCCAAAAAACGATATAATACTGCATTCTAAACTACGATCCAATTTTTATATTGTGGTAATTAGAAGTAATGGAAGTTTGACCATAATTACACCATCATATTAAAATATTAGTTAAATTACGGTCACCTCCTGAGGTCATATTAAATTATGAAAAGACCTCCATGTTTGAGTAATTGTAACCATCAATTGACTATGAATTTTCTTACACGTGCAAGCTTACGTGTCAAATTTAGTGGAATCTTTTAGATTGTGAAATATTCTTCATTTTGTTACCGTTTTACCCCATTTCAACTTCACATTTTGAAACAAGATGATCATAAAACGTGTGTCTTGGCTTGTAAATATCAGTGTTCTAAAAATCGGCCGATGCAGCCGATTAATCGGTCTCCGAGGCGGAGGCGGTCCAAAACATTTACGATTTTAGTTTAAAGGTTTGAAAAATCGGGTTTTTGCCTGTGAGGCGGTTTTAGGCGGTCTGAGGCGGTCAAACCTTTAAGCCGGGTCAAACTCGGTGGCAAAAATCGGTTTTTTTTTTTTTTTTTCCTTTTATAATTCAAAATAAAAATTGGATTTTAATAAAAGAAAATGTGAGTTTATGCCTTATTTTGTTTATGTTAATTGTTATTGTTAAAGAACTAATGATGTATGCCAGGAATGTTCAAGAATAAATGTAAATTCAAAAAAAATGTTTATTTATTTATATTTTCTAAGGATATTTATGTATTATGATCTTATGATTATTAAACTTTTATTATATTATTAGGATATATACATGATGGAGATATAACTATGTTTAAATATTTTTTTTATATATGTTTGGAGTATTTATAAATAATATTTAGAAACATATTATATTAAATTTTAAAAACCGATTTATTTCCGATATATTACCGATTAATCACCGCCGCACCGATTAATTGTGAGTCGGTGCCTGACCGACTCGGACCCGGTTACCGTTTTTTACAACCTTGGTAAATATGATGCATCAGAAACTGCATTTTTGCACGAAACAAGTACAAACTGGAAACCATTCCACAAAATCTAGAAAATTATATTGAATTTGACACATGTGAAAGGATTCATAATTGAGGGAGATAGTTATAATTACCGAAACAAAATAGATTTTTTCATAATTTGACCTTACTTCATGGGTTGGCTGTAATTTACACTAAAATCTTTTGCAATATTTGATCACATGCTACACGATTCATGGTAGCGCGTGACTAAATGAGAAGATCTCGTGCCCTAAATTGCAGCTACCGCTTTCTCCGAGGTGTCTTCACCAAATCGCAGCTGACGTCATAAATTAAAATGACCATTTTCTTTCTCCACTGTCTAAAACTAATAAATAATTACTCCACTATCCAAAAAAAAAAAAAAAAACCCTAATAATACAAAATTCCCAATTTCACCATGTTTTTATAGTGCATCAAATCGGTCTCCACACAAGAAATAATTGAATTTGAGAGATGGTATGGAAGGACATTCGTCAACAAGCTTCGCCCCAGATTCCTCCGACCACCAGTACCAGTTTTCTTACAGAACAATCCCGACGAGGTCTTAATTAATTCGATTCTTTGATTTATTTAGTGTCGTTTTTTCTGTGTTTTCTGCTATTGTTCGTCGCCGATTATGTGGAAATTTCAGTGTTTGTATGAGATAATTTTTTATCAGTGAAAAAAAATGATGGGAAAAATCAGTGGCATTATTGATATTAGAGCATTTTTTTGAGCTGCTTAATTTCTGGGATCGTTTTTATTTTTGGTTTACCTAAATTTTTTCTAGGACAAAAATCACGCATTCCCTTCTTTTATATGTTTTGAAATTTTATTTCATGTGTGTGTGTGTGTGTGTGTGTGTATTTAATAATTTACAGAAATGCATGTCTATTAAGCCAAGAACATAGTTTTGTATTACTGCAGCTTTTTATCTGATTGTGCAGATAATCATCTGTTCTAATCTGAATACACTGGAAGAAACTCCGTTCGAAAGCGTCCTGTTATATAATATACTCGAATATCCAACATCTCCGTTTCGTAATATATTTGAATAACCGATTTTGTTAGCTATATCACATTGCATATTCAAATCGTTTATTTCATATTCCCGTTTTGATTATATCAGGTGGCTATATGGGATCCGAATTTACCGAATTCGGTAGGAACCATCACCATCGTCATTATCAACATCATCAACAGCATTTTCACCCTCAAAATCATCCTCATCTCTTAGCACCGCCACATCAGCATCTGGACATGCACGAGGCGATAATACAGAGAGAGATGGAAAAGGAGCGTATACGAGAGGAGATAATCATGTCCGAAATGATGAGAAGGCGTGTTCTAGAAGCTGAGGTGAGGAGAGAGATGATGCTAGAGAGAGAATATTCTCTGCGTAGAGGAGGCATCGATGGGTTCCCGTTTGGGCCCTCTTCGACGCGGGCCCCACTTTTGGGGGTGGGGTCCGAAGGGAGGTCCCTCGAGGAAAGGATTGCCTTCTCAGTCACGGAACGGGAGAGGCTAAATGGGAGGCACGTTGACTCTTTGCCCTTTCAGACAAGGTCGTCTGTTGACCTACGAATTTCCGAGGTCAAGGTGAATAAGGAAAAGGAGAAAATTATTTTGATGGTCAGTATTAATTTTATATCATTTCGTATTTTTTTGTTTTTTTTTTACCTGTGTGAAATTTTATGATCTTTCAAATCTCCACAAAAGAATAATTTTACTATTTCATTGATTTTGTATTGAGTATTATTTCAGGCTAAACCCGAGGAAAATATATCCGGATCGAAGAGGAAAGCACCATCACCACCAACGCAACCATCAACACCGCCACCTGGAGCAGCAGCCGCTAGCGAACCCCCACCGGAGAACATCTCAAAGAAAAAAGCTGCAGAAAAGTTGACTTGCGCTATATGCCAGGTCAGCACCACGAGCGAGCAAGGCTTGTCCGAACACAAGAAGGGGAAAAAGCACAAGTCCAAGGAATCCGCATTACGAGCCGGAAAAAACTACACCATAGGGCTTTTACCAACAACAACGAGATCTACTGCTACATGCAAATCCGCCGAGGTTCTTCTAGAAACTTCTACCGAACCTGTCAAAGAGGATGTAGTGAAGTCAACCTCCGACTGTTTGCTGTCTGAAAAAAGAGACGATATCGAAATCCTAAACTCCGACGAGTCGAAGAAGAATGGATCTGTGGTGGTTGAAAAGGGGCAGAAAAACGATAGGAAGAAATGGCAGAGGTTTTGGTGCGAGATTTGCCAGGTGGGCACCCCTTCTCAGAAAATTATGAATGCTCATAAAAAAGGGAAGAAACATTTAAAAAGAAGCAACCAAAGCTTGTCCGATGAGAAGGGCAAGATTGTAATTAACGTGAATTGCGAAGGAGCTGTTGCTCGAGATGGGGACGAAATCGCTGCGGATAATGTGGATGAGGCATTCGGGGAAGATAGGTCTGACGATGTAGCGGATCACAGCCCAAAGGTGATGAACTAATGGTGTCTTAAGTTCAGTCCTAGGTTGTCTGTGCCCTCTTTTTTTTTTTTTTTTTTTTTTTTTTTTAAATTCAAATCCAATTAATTAACTTGAGTTTGGATGTTGATTTAAAAACTTGTATCAGTATAAAATAAATCTAAATTATAATGTATTTTGATTGAATTGGTCATTTGAATTCTTGAGATGCATACTAAACTATGTGGTCACCCAATTCTAATGTTCTTTTTTGGGCTAAATTATGAAAACCCTTTGAACTTAGGTTAAATTACGAAAATCACCTCCACCTATTCGTAATTATCAAAAACCCCTTGGTGTTTATTTCTGTCTTACACCAATCCCTACAATGTGAATTTTCACATATTTTTTTTGATTTTAGGGAATAGACTTTACACAATTTCAGATATTTCTTTTATTTCTCACGTATAATCCATTTTCTGTTAAAATGTTAAAAAACTCGGTCATCAGTTAGTCAGAGGAGAATTTTAGTAATTACGGATAGATGGGGGTGTACTTTTCGTTATTTAGCTTAAGTGCAGGGAGTTTTGTAATTTACCCTTTTCTTTTTTCAAAGTGTAGCCAATTTTAGTTCCAGTTTGAAAACACTTACAATATTCTGTTTTAGTTACTTTTACTTCAATTGTGGCATTTTGCAATCTATGGTGCAAAACTATCCACCGTATATAACCGGGTGTTACTCACGAACACACAGTAACAGTGTACCTCGAAAACTTGTCCTAAGCCAAACAACATTCTACCAAAAAAAATCGTACAACATAAACCGGTTTCCAGATTTCGTGCAAACATCTGCAAGTAATCACAAAGCAAAAAATACATACAAACTAAATTAAGATATTAAATCATATATATATATATATATATATATATATATATATATATATATATATATATATATATATATATATATATATATATATATATATATATATATATATATATATATATATATAGAGATAGACGGATCCCAAAATCGGTCGGTAACTCCACCAAACGAGCCAAAGAAAGCCACTAAATTCTAAGCAATTAGTCCCGTAAACCAATTCTTTGCTAGTCGAAAGCCAAATTGTTTCTAACAGATCATCATTCCGTGTAACAGTTAATACGAGACAAAACGAACTAACTACTATAAGGAAATTCACATTTTTTTTTAACATATAGTCTTTCAAACTCTTAATGCAACGGGATCTTGCCACGAAATTTTCCGCTTCCCTACACGAGAAGAACCTTCCCCACCATTTCTACACATTATCGATAGCTTCAATTCGTTTTGTTCCTCTTCATTCACACCTCTCATTAAACTCTTCTTCACCGCCTCGTAATTACTCTGTTGGATGTCCTCGTCACCTGTCTATTAAAATTTAAAAAAAAAAATTAAAAATCAAACTTCCCCGAGTATCGTAAATTTCACTAAAAAAAATAATTAATCGAATAATAACCTACCGAGATTTCGTTTAAGTCAAATATCGGCGCTTTGCTCGGCAAAGAAGCTTCTTTTCCACTATCCTGGTTCAAATCGAACGCCGCAATCGACTTCCTTAAAACTGCATCGTTCGCACCAAACAACATTCTTTCATTCTGGTTTCTGCCAAGAATCGGGATCAAATTCGGGGCCAAATATTCTTTCCTTACATGAATTGTTCCTCTGTGGTTGGAATCGGACACCGGTGTGAACATCAGGGTCGAATTTTGTCTCGTGGCTTCTTTTCCGCCGTGTAATGATATTTTCTTACGAGGCCGATGATCGGTTATTGGGGATGCGTCGATAAGAGAAACTTGTTTAACAACAGAGGGTTTCTTCTTCGGGTTTGGTTCTTTTCTGAGTTTAGTTTGCTTATGAGGATTCGGTGCATGTTCGTGAATTTGTTCTTGTGGTGGATTCACATTCTTTCTTTCCATGAGGTATTTATATCTTTGTCGAAGAAACCTGATAATTCAACGAGATGAATCGATTAGTTCAACAAGAATTTTGTCGCGGCTAACTGCACTACACAAATATCCAAGAATCTCACTGTATCAACAACGTCAACTAGTCAACAGTTAACGGCACACGAGTACCAAGTAAAAGAGTTATCTTGATGTAAAGTACAATTCGAATAAACACAAAAAATGCAGAATACTTGAGAAGCTCAAACATGACGACTAAGAGCATGTTTGGCTAAGCTTATAAGTTCTTAAAATCATCTTATAAAATGTTCAAGAACTTATAAGCTATTAAAAGGTGTCTGGTAAAAAAATTTAGAAAGATTTTTTTTTTTTTTAAAATAAGATGTAAGGTAGCTTATAAGCTGTTCTAAAAGAGTACCTACGCCCCCACCACCTTTTTTTACTTAAGATCTTATTTGCTCATTCACTAAAACATTCAACATACGAAATTACACTAAAGTAACTTATAAGCTCCATATCCAAACACCTTCAAATTTAATCTTTAAAATAAGACCAGCTCCTAAAACATCTTATCAGATGTTTTAAATAAACGGACATTTTGTGAATATAATTAATGACGAAATCACATTATAATGTTTAGAGTAAATAAAACGAACTGCATACCGAACTTCAGCGGCAAGAATCAGCTTCCTTTGTCTAGCCGCCTCTAAATTGTTTGTCATGACATCAGCTTCCTGCAAGAGGGTAAAATCGCAAAATCACGCTTCGGTTAGTCATCGAGCACTACTACAAGAATCTTGAAAACTTAAACGAGCATCGAACGAGAAATCGTTCACAGCCGTTCGAATAGATCGAACAAAAGAAAATCGAAATAAGAACTTCTCTACAATCGGAATAGAACTCGAGTCAATCAGAATTAAACATTAAGGAAAGCCTCAAAACAACAAATTTCAAAAGGAATCCTTAAACAATTAAATCAATTTAAGACAAAGGGCCAATTTAGGCGACCTTTTTTAAGAATCAGCTCATATTATAAAAAAATGTTCAAGAAACCCAAGGGCAGAATCACGAAGGAAGAATCAATTGACAAAATCGGATCAAATCATTCATTCAAGAGCAAAACCCAGAAATTAAAAAATCAAAATCAAATAAATCGTCAGATCTTCCAAATAACAGAAGAAAAAAATAAAAATAAAAATAAAAATAAAAATTAAAGTATACCTTCTGCAAATCCTGATAATCCTGCATAAGATTCTGATGCTTGAGCATGGATTTAGGATCAAGAACACCACCATAAGATGGGGTTGAGTCAAAAATCACAACTTTACCCTTCTTCGACATCAGATCACCAAACAAAAAGAATCACCTCTCACAGACAAAAAAAAAGGCGTGATCTTGAATAATATTTATATATATAATAATAATTAGTGCTAGCTGTGAGGCAGAGAGAGAGAGAGAGAGAGAGGGAGAGAGAGAGAAAGGGAAACAAGAAACTGGGCAAATGGGGATAGATATGAATGTGAAATAGAGGTGGAACAACCCAATAAAGAAAAGGGGGGTTTGTATGTAATGTAGAGAGAGAGAGAGAGATAGATAGGACAGGAAAAAAAGGAGAGAGAAAATAGAGGGGTGGGGGTGGGTGTGGGGGTGAGGTGTGAAGGTTCTTTCTTTGCTTTCCTGTTTTCTCTGTGAAAATAAAAAAAAAATCTGACCGAAAAAGCCCACATAATTCGGGGAAACAAAAATAAAATAAAAAAATTAAAGAAAACATAGTTGTTTGGAAGACAGTGAAGTTGATGATGAAGATGGGGGGTTTAATTTTTTTTTTGTGGGGGTTGCAGAAGGGTATTTTTGGAATTAATGTATCTGCTTTATTGGTGCTCTGTATGTTGTATGTGTGTGTGTGAGGTGGGTTTGGTTTAAATTGGAGGAAATTTGAAGACATATCTCTCTCTCTCTATTGTATTCTTTTTTGTTTCTCTCATAAATAAATTTTGGTCCAGCTGGGCCATGAAGAGAGAGAAAGAGATATATAGAGAGAGAGAGAGAGATGGGGGTGCCGTGGAGTCTTCCTATGTTGTTTCGTGGAGTTCTATGTTGTCTTCTTTCTTTTTCTTTTTTCTTTTTTTCTTTCTTTTCTTCTGAGTATAGATAGGTAGGTAATGGGAGGAGAGAGAAAGGAAGAGACAGTCTTGATCAGCTTTTTTTTTTCTTTCTAAATTTCTAGAGAGAGAAAGTGAAATTGGCACGAGATTGATGATGAGAGAGAGAGAGAGAGAGAAGGTGCTTTGCAGTTGTTGTTGGTAGTACCTTGTTTCTAGGCTTTTCGGTCCTCATATGGCCGCTGTGATGTTCTCTCTCTTGTAATCTAATGAAATTACAGTTGTGCCCTCCTGGCATCTTTCCTTTCTTTTGGCCTGCAACATTTTTTTATTATTGTTTTTTTTTTTTTTTCACTCTGGTTTGTTTCCCAGGCAAAAAGTTATTACCTCTTCCACCATCTCCGTGCTTTGAGGGTGTTTAAGTAATTTCACTTTCTGGAAGAAACAGCCTTGTACAGGTTACAAGGTACTTGGTATTGAATATGCAGATTGGCAGAGATACAAATTTTGTATTGGAATATGCTTCTTTTTCTTTGAGGGGTAAAATTGGTAAATTACACACACAGAGAGATAAAAAGGTAAAGTTTATTTTGCACCCCTGAATTATGGGACCGGTTGCATACACACCCATTAATTACGAAATTGCACTAAATACCCCCCTATATTTTTTGGTCAAACTTAAAAATGTAAAAACATTAGTTTTGTAATAGGATAAAATGCACTTCACCCCCTTAAAAAAATTCACTTTTTGCACTTTCCCCCCTGAAAATATACAAAAAGAGACCTCCCCTCTTCAAAATACAAAACTAGGTGCAGTTTGCTCCGAGAGTGTATTCCGTTCAGAATTTCGGCAGATTTCGATATTGCGACTGTATAATTGCGTCATTCACATTTAAATGTCATTTTATATCTATTTGTTATTTCTCCACTCCATATTCCAAGTGTTTATCAACGCCTTTTTCCTCAAATCGAATCAGCCAAACCTTGAGTTTTCTTTTTCTAAAACTCAAATTCAATCAACGACAATCTCTCCCCAAATTGAATCAGCCAACTTAGGTTTCTTCTCTACAAAACCAAATCGTATCAGCGGCCAACTCTTCTCCATCAACCAATCAATAGATTCATTAAAGATAAAATAAAAATCAAAGTCAGTATAAATACCATTGATTATTCTTTGTTGTCCTTGTCGCAATTTCCAACTCATTTTGCTTCCACAATTTTCAGATTATATCAGTGAAGATTTCATAGAAGGGCGTGGGTTGATTTTCGAGAGAGAAAAGAAAAGCCCTAGTTCTTGCGTTTAGTAAATAATTTTTAAGCAGGCCTTTTTTGCACGAGTGTTGTGACTTGTGCCTATGCCCACCTTTTTTTTATTTTAGGATAAATTACACCAACACCCTTGAGGTATGCTTAAATAATTTTAAGGTTCCTGTGGTATCCATAATTACACTCACCCCCTGAAACGTAGTTAGAAGAGATAATACATTGGATATATTATTCCGATAGGGTTCTAATGGACTATTACTTTTAGCTAGTGGTGGAGATAACATAGAGTTATGGGGTGACATAGCTCCCCCAATATTTCTAAAATCACCCATAACTCTTTATTGTCTCCACCACTTCCTGAAATCAATAGTCCGTTAGAACTCTATCGTAATAACATATCCAATGCATTATCCCATTAGAGCTTATAACTACGTTTCAAGGGGGTAAGTGTAATTATCGATACTATAGGGACCTTAAAGTTATTTAAGCATACCTCAGGGGTGTGAGTGTAATTTACCCTTTATTTTATTATTTATTTTGTAAAATTGAAATGGTTGACACGTGCGCCAACGTGACGTGGACATGGATAAAATTTAGGTGCGAAAAAGGCCCAAATCGGGTTACCTTAGCCCAACGCAACATATTGGACTCTTTTTTTTTAATGATATTCTTTTAATAATTAAATAATGTTTAGACGATGATGAAGGTGGTTTCGATCCGACGATCAAATTAGAGTCTGGTTTACGGAAATAGTCATAATTATTTCTCAGGCTTCCGCGGCAAAGGAAAACTCTAAAAAAATTATAGCTCTTATTTTTCTTCATCTTTGCTCGATTCACCGAGACGGAGAACACCATAAATCACTGGTGAATATACTTTTTCCTAACCAGTCTTGTTTTTGTACTATAAATAACTGGCGAGTGCACAATGTTCGTCAATATTTTAACTAATGTACCATCAAGATCGTCGTTAGCCGATCTATTCAATCGATGGAGACCAGACAATCAACGTAATTGTCAGAAACTTTACACGGATTCAAGCACCAGGACACCACGACGTTATGCGCCTCAACTAAAGAGACGACGTATTCTCTTATTTTAAATAGGGTACCTCTATTGAGAGAATAAAACACAAATCAAATGAATCAGGATATTTCTCTTTTTAATATATGAGTTTTCAACTACATTTATTATTGTTATATATATTCCTTAAAACAACAAGATGATCAAGATTTTGGTAACTCTTTTCCAGACAAAAATGCCTGAAATAGGATGAATGCTCTTCTTGGCTGAAACAAAGGAACCTCATGCCCAGCTCCTCTAATCGTCGCAAATGTTAAATTTTCGTAAACCTCCGTCCATCCCCCGACCTATCGATAAATATAACAAATCAGTTAATTTACCCCCTTTTTTTTTTTTTTTAAAAAAAAAAAAAAAAAAAAAAAAAAAAAAAAAAAAAACATAATGTATATACACCTGGCCAGCAGAATACCAAGGATACCATGGAATCTTGATTTTCAGATTCAGATGGCTCAACGAAAACCTAGTTGCTGTAACCGGGACAACCGAATCCGTGTCCCCGCTGCAATTATAATAACACATAATATAACTTAGGGTAAATTACAAACACCCCCCTGAGGTATGATCAAATTACAAAAATCCCCCTCTTGTTTAGATAATTACATCTACCCCCTCAACTATGATTTTTTCTTAGACCTCCACCTTTATGGTGCCAAATTCAACATAATCATCTAGATTCCGTGAAGTGTGCTCTAGTTTGTACTCGTTTTGCGTAAAAAATACAGTTTCCGATGCACCACAAACTGATATATACAAGCTAAAAATCACATATTATGATCATCTTGCTTCATAATTTAGAGTTTGAATGGGATAAAACGGGTACAAAAGTGATAATATTACATATAATCTCGAAAATTCCACTAAATTTGAGGAGTGAGGGGGTGGTTGTAATTATCCAAACAAGAGGGGTGTTTTTGTAATTTGACCATACCTAGGGGTGTTTGTAATTTACCCTATAACTTATGTTAATGAAATTATAACACTGATCATTAATTAATTAATCCTTTTTTCATGTGTTTTCTGAATAATATATAGTGGTAACTTATTAATGTTATTAATGCCTTATGTTGTTGTAAGAACAAAAAAATAATGTTATTTTTAATTAGGGTACAAATTCGAAGCCTCTAAGGCCTCGTTTGGTTGCCAAATTACATGCTTGAAATCTCCAATTATAAGCAATTTGCTCAATAAGCTCATATAAGATCTAATAGGAGCAAATTAGAACAATATTTGTGCTAGACAAAAAAAAAATATTCTGACTAACTCTAATAATTTTAGATGGCTCCAAAATCGTAAACTCTAAGGCCTCGTTTGGTTGCCAAATTATATACTTGAAAGCCATAATAAACAATTCGTCAATAAGCTGATCATATAAGTGCTAATAGGAGCAAAATATTTGCGCCCGATCGACAAAAAAATTATTCAACTAACCAAACAAACTCCAATAATTTAACATGTAATATATATGTACCTGAACACCCATATTCTAAGGCCAGCAGCAATTAGCTTTTTGTACGTAGGCAGGATCGACGATTCCGAATCCTTCCAATTCCTTATAAGCACATCACTGTCACATTTTCATTTGTTGGCGCCAGATTTCCACGAAGGAAGAAATCCGCCTCACTTGGGAAGTAAAGATTGGCTAAAGATTTGTTCCCATGTTTATTTTGGAAATTTAGAGTCCTACCTTTGTAATACTTTAGGACTTAGATTTATTTCCTAGTACTTCATTCTTGTTAGGAATCTTTTATGGCTATCTAGATTAGAACTAGATATTGACTAGGATTCTGTTTCCTAGTTATTCGATTCCTTTGGAAGACAGGTCTTTGGAGGCCCATCTCACGCCTATATAAGGCTCCTCACCTCACAAAGACCGTGACACTTTTTTTGGGAGAAAAATCACTCCGTTGCTTTGAAGAATCGCTGAAACGTTCTGCTGAACATAACTGTGCCATCGTTGGATGTGTCAACTTATACAGATTGGCTGTATAGATCTCTTGGGAGATCAACCGCGTCACTGAAGGGAGTTCAGGCCAGAAAGGAGTTCTAGGCACGCGGTGTGGAGCTGCTGTTGGAAGAAACACGAAGTTCGAGTTGTGTACAAGAACGGCATATTACATAAAGAGGGAGTCTTTAGTGTTTTTAATAAGTCCTATTAATGTACATTGTAAATCTGAACTAGTGAAATCGTGTTTGCAGGTCCACGTGGATGTAGGGCACAATTGTGTCTGAACCACATTAATTCTTGTGTTCTGTTTATTTACTTTAAGTAGAATATAACTGTGCCAACACAAGATTTACAGTTGTAACTAAATACTGTTTCCACAACTTAACTGTTACAACTTAGATCAACTGATTTCTATAGGCATATAAATCAACAATTGGGATCAGAGCCTCTCACTAGATATACATAGTGTGTGATTTTGGGAATTTGATTTATTTGCCATTTATTATTCGTAGGTACTATGAGTTCTCATATGGAAGGAGGTTCCACGACTCGCCCACCACTACTCACGGGAACCAACTACTCCTATTGGAAGACTAAGATGAAGATGTTCATAAAATCAATGGATGAAGATGCATGGCGAACAGTGTTAACTGGATGGAAGCGACCCGTTGCCACAGATGAGAAAGGGATTGAAACTGAGAAGCATGAGAAAGACTGGAGCAAAGCCGAACAAATTGCAGCAAACATGAATTCCAAGGCCTTGAATGCTATATTCAATGGAATTGATATCAATCAATTCAAGATAATCTCTGCGTGTGAGTGTGCTAAAGAAGCATGGGAGAAACTCCAAACAGCTTACGAGGGAACTGCTTCAGTCAGACTGTCCAAACTTCAAATGCTTGCCACCCGGTTTGAAGATCTTCGTATGGAAGAAAATGAGACCGTGAGCGAATTCAACTCCAAATTATGTGACATATCAAACGAAGCTCATGGACTCGGTGAAACTTATCCTGAAGTTAAACTTGTACGAAAAGTGCTCAGATCCATGCCAGACAGATTCGCGTACAAGATCACTGCCATAGAGGAAGCAAGTGACGTGGACTCATTACGACTTGAGGATCTGATTGGAAATCTACAAACTTTTGAAAACAAGTTGAACATCAGCAGAATGGACAAGGAAAGGAAAATTGCCCTGCAGTCTGTATCAGACACCACAACATCTGTGCCTACTGCTCCTATGTCAGCACTTGAAGTCAAGCTCACAAAATCCATGTCCTTAATAGCAAAAAATTTCGGGAGATTCATCAAGAGAAATGGACAGCCTACAAACTTTGAGAGAAAACCCAGAACCTCTACAGACAAGCCAGAGGTCAAGAAGGGAATTCGATGTAGAGAATGTCATGGTTATGGTCATATCCAAGCAGAATGTGCTAACACTCTGAAAAAACAAGGAAAATCACTTGCCACAACTTGGAGTGATGACACCTCAGAGTCTGATGATGAAAGTGAAGCTAGTGACGATGATACAAACAATGATTTCTGTGGAACTTGCAGAATCACAGAAGCCACACTTGAGGACATCACATGCACAGAACCGCCACATCTCAGGTATGTCACACAGGAAAATGAAAATTATGAAAATCTAAATATGTCTTTTCTGTCCACAGGAAGTGACGAATCAGAAGATGAAAGTGAAGAGTCCATCCAACAATTTCAAAAACAATTGGATGATCTCCTGAAGCAATGTCATGAAGTTCGTAATGAAAATAAACTCCTGAAAGAAAGAATCAAAGAACAAGAGGAAGAAAACAAAGGAGTTGTCACAAAACTGAATGACAGGATTGATGAACTAGAGATGGAGATTGAAGTCTTTGAAGTGGAACAGGACTTTGCACAAAGAGACATCGACAATCTCAAAGATTTGTTGAAATATTGGCAGGACTATGATGGTGAAAGAGCAAAAAGAATGAGGAAAAATCTTTTTCCAAAAGTGCATGCTAATGATCACCAAGATGTTACACAGCCTGTTAGCACAATGTTTGATGCTACTGTCAGTAAGTTAAATCGCACTGCATTTCTTCCCTCAAATAGATTAGATGAAATCATAAATGCTCATCCTTCCAATTCCAAAAGAATTGGGTTAGGGTATACTGATGGACAATCTAGTGCTAACACTGGGTCAAACCATAAAATCAGATTTGTCAATTCAACATCTTCTTGTGTGAATTACCAAACCCATCCTACTAAGTTTATTCCTATCTGTCACTTCTGTCACAAAATAGGGCATGTCAGGCCTAAATGCTTTAAAAGATGGAAATTGATATATAAACAGTTAGCATATCAGACATCCAAATCCGCTGCGTGGGTTACTTACTCTCAAAGTAACAACTCTCATAAACAAAGGATGACAAATGATAGTACTAACTGCTGGTCTGCTATTTTATCTTTAAATGCATGTGCTACTAACTCTTGGTATTTTGACAGTGGATGCTCCAAACACATGACAGGTGAAAGGAATTTCTTATCAAATCTACATAACATGTCTAGTGGACAGGTTACTTTTGGAGATGGAAATAAGGCTTATGTAAAGGGAAAGGGAGACTTAGATGTTGGAGGATTGCCAAACTTGAACAATGTTCTGTATGTGGAAGGTTTGACATCAAATCTTCTGAGTGTAAGTCAGTTGTGTGATCTATACGACTCTGTATTGTTCACAAAGCGTAAGTGTGAAGTATTTGATGAAAGCAAAAATTGTGTTTTAACCGGATACAGGTCATCAGACAATTGCTACAAAATTGATCAGATTGACAAATCGGATCAATGTCATCACACTTCTTCTGATCTCACTGATCTCTGGCATCGGAAACTAGGTCATTTAAATTTTCATGATCTAATTCGTCTTGTTAATACAGGTTGTGTGAAAGGAATACCACAACTGAAGACTGACACACCAGAGTCATGTGGTGACTGTCCTCTGGGAAAACAAGTACGCACATCTCACAAGAACACAGATCGTGCAGGGACCAGCAGGACCCTGGAACTCATTCACATGGACTTAATGGGACCAATGCAAACCGAGAGCATTGGTGGAAAAAGGTATGTTCTAGTTTGTGTTGATGATTTCTCAAGGTTTACTTGGGTACGTTTCATCAGGGAAAAGTCAGATACCTTCTATGAGTTCAAAACTCTGTGCAAGAAATTGCGAATTGAAAAATTCAGCAATATTGGAAGAATTCGAAGCGATCATGGGAGAGAATTTGAAAACTCTTCATTCACAAAATTTTGTGATAAACACGGTATCTCCCACGAATTCTCAGCACCAAAGACACCACAGCAGAATGGTGTGGTAGAAAGAAAGAACAGAACTCTTCAAGAAATGACTCGCGTAATGCTCATCTCAGCAAGAGTGGCCACAAAGTTCTGGGCTGAAGCTATGAGCACTGCCTGCTACACCATAAACCGTGTACACCTCAGACCAGGTACAAAGAAAACTCCATATGAAGTGTGGAAAGGTAAGAAACCGAACTTAAGTTACTTTCATGTCTTTGGGTGTGAATGCTACATCCTGAACGATAGAGAACAACTCGGTAAGTTCTCTGCAAGAGGAGACAAAGGTACCTTTCTTGGTTATTCCTTAAACAGCAGGGCATATCGCGTTTATAATGAACGTACAATGACTGTTATGGAATCCATTAATGTAACCTTTAACGAAGTTTTATCTGCAGGAATGGATGAGGAAGACTCTAATCCTGGAAAAACCATTGTACCAGTACAAACGCCAGTCATCAGCACAGAGGAAGTGACGACAGTGAAAGAAAGCACAGAAGGAGTGACAACAGTGAAGGAAAACACAGAAGAAAGAAAAAGACCATCAAAACGAGTTGTAAAGAATCATCCTTCTGAACAGGTGATAGGAGAAGTTGATGAAGGTATGAAAACTCGAAATAAGCCCAAAGTTGATTACCAAGAAATGGTCAGGTATGTGTGTTATACTTCTACTATAGAACCAAAAAACATCAAAGAAGCAATTCTTGATGAATATTGGGTACAAGCTATGCAAGAGGAACTTGAGCAGTTCACTCGACATGAAGTGTGGGAACTTGTTCCACGACCCGACCAGGTAAACGTTATAGGTACAAAATGGGTGTTCAAAAACAAAACGGACGAACTTGGTAATATAACTCGCAACAAAGCTCGTCTTGTTGCTCAAGGATACACCCAAATTGAAGGAGTAGATTTTGATGAAACATTCGCTCCGGTAGCTCGTCTTGAGTCAATACGTCTTTTACTCTCAGTTGCTTGTGCTTTAAAGTTTAAACTCTTCCAAATGGATGTAAAAAGTGCGTTTTTAAATGGTCTTTTAAATGAAGAAGTGTACGTCGAACAACCAAAAGGTTTTCAAGATCCACTCAAGCCTCAACACGTCTATAAACTTAAAAAGGCCCTATACGGTCTCAAACAAGCCCCTAGGGCTTGGTATGAGCGACTTACGACCTTTCTAGTTGAAAAAGGATATAGAAGAGGTGGGGTAGACAAAACACTATTTGTCAAAAATTTTAAAAACGAAATCCTTTTGGCTCAAATCTATGTGGACGATATTGTTTTTGGGTCTACATCTGACCACAAGAAAGATGAATTTATCTCTCAAATGTCAAACGAATTTGAAATGAGTATGGTTGGAGAGCTAACTTACTTTCTTGGCTTGCAGGTAAAGCAGATGAAGGATGAAATTTTCATCACACAAAGCAAGTATGCCAAGAATCTGGTAAGTAAATTTGGGTTAGATAATGCAAAGCCTCTAAAAACTCCGATGAGTCCTACTGAAAAGTTGGGACGCGACTGTGAGGGCACAGACGTGGATCCCACATTATACAGGAGTATGATTGGAAGTTTACTTTATCTTACTGCTAGCAGACCTGACATTTGTTTCAGTGTAGGAGTATGTGCTAGGTACCAATCAAATCCTAAAGAAAGTCATTTAAGTGCAGTCAAACGCATCATACGATACGTGAGTGGAACTCTTGAACTAGGGATATGGTACTCGAAAGATACTAATACTTGTCTTGCAGGATATAGTGATGCTGACTGGGCAGGAGATGTGGATGACAGAAAAAGTACTACTGGAGGCTGTTTCTACATGGGAAACAACCTAGTATCTTGGTACAGTAAGAAACAAAACTGCATCTCTTTATCAACAGCTGAATCTGAGTACATAGCTGCAGGTAGCTGTTGCACTCAACTTCTTTGGATGCAACATATGTTGAATGACTATGGCTTTCATGAAAAACTCCTTCATATATTCTGCGATAATGAAAGTGCCATAAATATCTCAAAAAACCCGGTCCAGCATTCTAGAACCAAACACATAGATCTTCGACACCATTTCATCAGGCAATTAGTTGAGCAGAAACGTGTGACTATAGATTATGTGTCCACAGACAATCAATTAGCTGATATTTTTACAAAGCCCCTTGATTTCCTTAGGTTTGATTCCTTGCGTAAAGCGCTTGGGATTTGCCATGTGCAAAACTGAATTTTCTATGATAAGTGCAATTAGAGTTTGTGTCCGGATTGCACTTGAATTCTTTAATCGGACATTATATGTGTCACCTACAAATGTGACATCACTGTTCTTGGACTAGGAATGATTGGAGGTTCATTTTGACTAATTGTTTGTGTGTTAGTTTTTGTGAATTAATTTTTGTTTCCACAGACAACCATGATAGAAGTGTGCTGCCCCCTCTATCGGGAGTGATCAATGACTATGACCTCATTCATCTCAAAGATCATACCTCTATTGGGAGAATTATGCTACCGCATATGCATCTCTGACTTCTATTTAAAAGCTATGTGGATTCTTAAGAAGGTTGCCCTCCTAATGTCTGCTTGAACATCATATCAACAAAAAAAAGGGAGGAGAAGAAAAATTAGTTCATACTCAAAAAAAAAAAAAAAAAAAAAAAAAAAAATAGTCTGAATTCAAAAAAAATAGTCTGAATTCAAAAAAAAAAAAAAAAAAAAAAAAAAAGGAGAGGTTGGGATGATATTCAAGCATATATTAGGAAATTCTTCTTGAAGTACACGATCGAATTGCTGTGCTAATCGCATACGCATTCATAACCCTTAAAAATTACCTAAATTATGATTTCTTGAGTATGGTTATGGGGTTATAGTTATATCGTGCATCCAAGAGCTTGTTTGGTGGCCTTCTATTGTGATTCTCTTTAAGATTATCTAATTAATTCATGAAAACCAAACCCTCAATTTTTAGTCTTGTGATCATCTTGATTTTCTTTTCCTTAAAAATTTTTTTTAAAATTTTTAAAATTTTTGTTTTGGGCTTTGTGAATTTTTGGCTCTAGTTGTCTCTGGCCACGTGGCTATAGCCATGTCATCTGCCTTCTTTCTTTTTTGATGTTTTGTGTGGAGAATATCTTGCTTGTTATTGGTGGCGGATTTTGTGGGATCTTATTCTGATTTGAAAATATCCAGTATCCGAAGAGTCCTCTCTTTTTCTGCCTATTTTCTCGGTCCCTGTGCTTTAAATATCCGCCTCTTTTAGGGTTTGCCTCTCACACTTTATTCTTCCTCTTCTTTTCTTCCGCCGTTCCTTTTTATTTTCTTTTTTTTTCTTTCTGTGTTCTCTATTCACCATGGGCAAGAATCGATCTGCTGAGGGCTCCAAGAAGCGACGCCACACTCCATCTGCCTCGCCCGCTGAGAAGAAGTCCAGAAAATCCTCAAAGAAAGTCCGTCCTACTGTTGTGGATGTCTCTCCTGTTCCTGTCACCACAGATCTGGACCCCGTTTCTACTCCAGTGGCTTCCCCTTCACCAAGTCTCAAGACTAGTGATGTGCCTGACCATATTGACACCGGCGTGACTGCTCTTGACGGTGATAGCCTCTCTGCAACCCCACAAGATGATCTGCCCTCAGATCCAGAGGTCCCCCCCCGCCATGTTGAGTTTCCTGTTCAACTCCGCCGCTCTAATCGAAAACACGAAGGCCCATCTGTCTCCACTCCTGCCTCCGTGTCTGAAGGTCAACAATCCTCTTCTTCTGAGCCTATTCCTGAGGATGACCCTCTGCGTTCTGAATCCTCTGATTCATCTGTGGGCTCTCAACTCTCTGCTGGGCTGTGTTAGCTTTGTCTGGGATTTTCCGTCTTCTTAAATCTCAAGGGTTGTTGGGCACTATTGTGAGTGCACAACCTTTCGAAAGGTCTGCCATTGTTGAGTTTTATGCAAATTTGTCTGATCGTTTTTCTGTTGAGGGGTCTCGTGGGTATGGGAAAGTGTATGTGAGGGGTTCCTTCTTTTCTGTGACTCCTGCCTTGATCAATGAGTTTTATAAATGTCCAAACGAGGTGTCTCACAAACCCTCTGTTTCAAAAGATTCTATGGCCTCTGTTCTCACTGGCAAAGTGTTAAAGAAATGGCCCGGTCCGAAATCCTCTTTTCATGTTTCTAAGCTGACTCAGCTTTATTCGGTCCTGTTTAAGATAGGCATTTCAAATTGGTTTCCCACTACTCACAATGCTACTCTCAATCCAACCCAAGCTGAGTTCTTATGGTGCATCACTCACGACCTCAAGATCAATATTGGTGAACTGATTTTCAATCAGATTGGTGCGTTAGCCAATTCCCGCACTGAGCGTGAGCATTTGCCATTTCCTTCTCTGATCTATCAGCTTCTGATCAAACAAGGCCTGCCTACTCGTGATGCCACCCTGTTGGACCCACCTGGCCGTCCAATTACTATCCACGGTAAGGTCCTCTCTGAACATTTTGCTGATCTGCCTCCTGTCGATCCTTCTGTTGTTCAGACAGTCCCTCGTGCGAAGAAGGCTCCAATTGTCTCTGCCTCTATTCCGCCGCCGGTTGATGTGGTCACCAAGGATGAGCTCACTCGTTTTCAGGAGTCTATCCAGGCTCAGCTCGCTCAAGGGTTTGCCTCTATTCAGGATCAGCTGCTTAGGACTTTGGCACATTCTGGTCAGAAAGGGGGAGTAGCAACAACTCCAACTCCTGCGGCTTCCACCAAGACCAAAGATAAAGGCAAAAAGCAGGCATCCCTCCTCACTCCTCCACAGCCCAGCTCTCGTGATGATGATGATTTGTTCTCTGGCTTTAGTTACTAAAGCAGAGATTTATGTTTTTCGTTTTCATGTTTTTTTTCTTAAAAACTATCTGCTATTACTTCTGGTCTGTAATAGCTAGTATTATTTTCTTTTTGCATCTTTGACTCTATATGTTATCTCTTTATCTGCATTGATAACTACTTTTTGAGTTAATTTTGGAGTGATTCTATATCTCTTTTATTTGTCTCACTGCAGGAAATACTTAAAGTAGCACCGCTACTGTGCTAACAGTATGTGATGTTATGTGCTAACAGTCTGTGATGCAGGGGGAGTGCTAACAGTCTGTGATGCAGGGGGAGTCTTTTCTCTTTCCGTCTTATCTGCAGGGGGAGTTTTTGTTAAACATGGGTTCTGACCAAATCTATGCCAAAGGGGGAGATTGTTGGCGCCAGATTTCCACGAAGGAAGAAATCCGCCTCACTTGGGAAGTAAAGATTGGCTAAAGATTTGTTCCCATGTTTATTTTGGAAATTTAGAGTCCTACCTTTGTAATACTTTAGGACTTAGATTTATTTCCTAGTACTTCATTCTTGTTAGGAATCTTTTATGGCTATCTAGATTAGAACTAGATATTGACTAGGATTCTGTTTCCTAGTTATTCGATTCCTTTGGAAGACAGGTCTTTGGAGGCCCATCTCACGCCTATATAAGGCTCCTCACCTCACAAAGACCGTGACACTTTTTTTGGGAGAAAAATCACTCCGTTGCTTTGAAGAATCGCTGAAACGTTCTGCTGAACAGAACTGTGCCATCGTTGGATGTGTCAACTTATACAGATTGGCTGTATAGATCTCTTGGGAGATCAACCGCGTCACTGAAGGGAGTTCAGGCCAGAAAGGAGTTCTAGGCACGCGGTGTGGAGCTGCTGTTGGAAGAAACACGAAGTTCGAGTTGTGTACAAGAACGGCATATTACATAAAGAGGGAGTCTTTAGTGTTTTTAATAAGTCCTATTAATGTACATTGTAAATCTGAACTAGTGAAATCGTGTTTGCAGGTCCACGTGGATGTAGGGCACAATTGTGTCTGAACCACATTAATTCTTGTGTTCTGTTTATTTACTTTAAGTAGAATATAACTGTGCCAACACAAGATTTACAGTTGTAACTAAATACTGTTTCCACAACTTAACTGTTACAACTTAGATCAACTGATTTCTATAGGCATATAAATCAACATCATTAAAAAAAAATAATTAATCCTAATTAATTCAACTAAAAATTTAGAAAAATAAAATAAAATATATATATGTATGTATATACTAGCATATCATATAGTACCTGCAAGCTGTCCATTTGTATGAAATCCCTGTAATATTTGCATGGAGTGCCTTTTGAACATCGGGCCGATTATAGTACTTCTCAGCATAGCTTTCCGTACAAGGATCGTATCCCGATAATCTCTGTCCAATCAGAGTGTTCTTAAGCGTGACCGATATATTATTAGTCTTTTTCGATCCCTTGCACGTCGGCGAATAAATGCTGTACTGATCAATATCTCCGAATTCGTGGTTCATTGCGTAATTTACGGCATCGTCGCATTTCTCCGAAGTTTCGTCGGATTTGAAATCGCAATGTTTGAGGATCAATTTGTATGTTTTGTCCGATATCATTGAGTGGCTCCACCAGTATGTTACGGTTCCGATTCCGTCGTAGTAATTATCCGTTACCGCATTTCCCAACTGCATTAATTTATATACATATATAAAATTTAATCAAGAATTACATAATAAAAAAAAAAGTGGAAAATATTTGAAGTGTTGAGAGTGAGCTTACAATGAAGCCTTTAAGATTGATGATTGGATGGGAAGATTTCTTGTTATAGTCATTTATTTGCTGTGCTAACTGAGGTACATAATGCCCTGATGTAGATAATGATAGGGGTTAGTTATTTATTGGGGTAAATTACACCCACACTCCTGAGGTATGCTAAAATAACTTTAAGGTCTCAGTGGTATCGATGTTTACACTCACCCCCTGAAATATAGTTAGAAATTCTAACGGAATAATGCATTGGATACGTTATTCCGATAGGTTTCTAACGGACTATAAGTTTCATGAACTGGTGGAGACAACAAAGAACTCTGGGTGACTTAAGAAATGTTGGGGGAGCCATGTCATGTTGTCTTTACCATTAGCTAAAAGTAATAGTCCGTTAAAACTCTATCGGAATAACGTATCCAATGAATTATCCCATTAGAGTTTCTAACTATATTTCAGAAGGATGAATGTAATTATCGATATCACAGGGACCTTAAAGTTATTAAAATATACCTTAGGAGTGTGGGTGTAATTTACCCTATTTATTATTATTTATAGGATAAATTACATCTAACCCCCTTATGTTTATTATAACAACTTTAAGGTCCCTGGTGGCATTGATAGTTATAACCCGTAAAATTAATGGAATATTAGAAATACTGAGATCAGGGGTGATTGTAATTACGAATGCCATAGGGAATATAAAGTAATTAATATTTTTGGATATTAATTAAAAAAGGGTGAATGACAAATAGACTCATGACAAGAGACTTAAATGCACATAGGTCCAGACAAAAAACAGTCTTGCAAATAAACTCATTCCCATGTCTTTTGTCTAAAATACCCTCCATAATAATTTTTTTATTAATTACATCCATTACATTCTAACTTTTTCAATATTACACATTGGCCCAGATTTGAACAAATATATCACATTAACCCCTATTTTCTATTTTTTTTGAAAAAATAACTTCTTCTTTTTCTGAATTTTTTTTCCAGCTGGAGTCCGGCGTTGACATATTTTTTTTCTGAAATTTTTTTCGATCGGTCAACCACCGTTGGCTGCCAGTCTCCGGTGTTAACTTTTTTTTTAAAACTTTATTTTTCTCTCTAAATTATTGTGTTAACAATAAAATTATTGTCTTAGATAGTGATATTGAATACCAAAACTATAATATTTCTAATATTACTATCTCAAACAGTAATATTACTAATATTATTGTCACAAACAGTAATATTATTGAATGTGACAATAATATTACGGTCGAAGACTGCAAAATTGCAGACCAAGACGATAAAATTAATTAATACAGTAAAGTTACTGTCTCAAACAGTTAAATTACTGTCTCCGAAAGTTAAATTACTATTGGAGACAATAATTTAACAGTCAAAACAGTAATATTAATGAAAATGTTACAATAGAATCACAATGTTACATTTACCCTATAATGTATGATATATAATAACTCTAATGTTTATGTAGTATTCGTTATTATGACCAACCCCCAGACGCTAACGTTTAATTAGTTTCAGGGGTATTTTTAATTATCAATACCACATGTATCTTAAAGTTGTTAGAATAAATTACATCTACACCTCTGAAGTATGTTAAAATAATTTTAAGATCTCCGAGGTATTGGTAATTACAACCACACTCCTGAAACAATTATTGGAGCCAAAATTTCGTGTTCTGAGGACCGTTATGCACTATATTTGTTTCTCGCGTGGCAGTTGATGCTACCATAGACGAAAATTTATAAATTTTATATAAAATAATAATGATTTAAGAATGTTAGGAGAGTCGTGTCACCCCTAGCTCTATGTGGTTAATTCACACTATTGTCTCCTGAAACTAATGGTCCGTCGGAATCCTAACGGAATAACTTATTCAATGCATTATTTTGTTAGGGTTTATAACAATATTTCATGGGGTGATGGTAATTATCGATACTACAATGACCTTAAATTTATCTTAGCATATTTTAAGGATGTAGGTGTAATTTACCCAAGTTATTATAACATTCCTCACGAGGTTGATTGTAATTTACCCTTATTTATATTATAATATACAAAAAGAAAAAAAAATGAGAAAAATTTGGCAACAATTTATTTGTTAGTACCTGCATAACTCTCTCCAGAGATGTAGAAATCTCTATATTTGTACTGTGGGAATCTTGACAACCATTTTATGAGAAAAACCAGAGCATCCTTAGCTGTGTGAACCCAAAATTCTACTTAGCTAATTAATTATTACTAATTGCTTCAACTTTATTATAATGTTTCTAATATATATATATATATATATATATATATATATATATATATATATATATATATTAGAACTTGTGTTCGTGTAAGAGTAACCGACGCCAGCCGGTGATTCGAGGAAAAGAATATTCGCCACTGTAATATGATTTTAAGCATGAAAGAAAGAAAATTAAATTTCGTCTATTGTAATTGACATTGCATGATTTTCTATTTTTATTTGAGTAAATTACAACCACTTTCCTGTGTAATTATAAAAATTCCATATTGTTTGAAAATTTACATTCAACCCCCTACAATTTGTAAATTTCTTACATTCACCCGTACAAAAAGGTGTTAACGTAAGATATTTACAAATTTCAAGGTGATGGATGCAATTATTCGAAAATGAGGGGCTCTTTTTGTAAATAGACTTTACTTCAGGGGCGGTAGTAATTTACCCCTTTTATTTCATGTGTGCGAGTTAAATCATTATTAATAAATTAATATACACGCACGTGACATGCATGTGTGAATTGAACAATACCTCTATTCCAAGAGTATTTGTTCAAGTAGAGAGATGAAGAAGTTTTGTTGATACGAAATGGTCCTATTTCTTCAGAAGCTCCATATGCCACTGATGAACACCCTGGTCCTGCAAATTAAATTTTAAAATAATTAATTAATTACCTTAAGTTTGATTAATTTATTTTTTTGTTGTGGAATTATTTCACTTGATTTATGTTAATTTTGTAGCAACTTTTAATATATGCGCACATGGTGAAGTAATTGAGGGGTCAATTATGAAAAAAGAAGAAGTAATTGAGGGGTCAAATCAAATGGATGCAGAAAATTAATGATGCAAGTTGGTACTTTGCTGCAACAATATTTATACCTACCCATTTATTTTGTCAACTGTAACTGTAATGAATAGAAGCACTAATCATGTCCATATTTTTCTTGAGTAGTCCTATTCAATTATTAATTAACTTTTTCAAGTCAAAATATTTAGGGTAAATTCAATTTTCACCCCTTGTACTTTGGTTCGATATCATTTTACCCCTTTCTACTCTCGATTGCATCAATTTGCCCCCTGCACTTGATAAAATGTCTCAATGTGACTTTCACCGTTAGTTTTCAGATCTTTAACCTTAACACTGTTTGATCTAAGTTTGAAAAAAAAAAAAACCACCAATCCCTCTATCTCAGTTTAAATAATTATTAAAAAAATTAAAAATAAATTGTATCTGGAGTCGTGGACTATATTAATTTCTCATTGTCTTGAATTTTTTATTTTTTATTTTTTAATAATTATTTAAACTGGGAGGTTACATTTTTGTAATTTCAGAGCTTAGATCAAACGGTGTTAGGGTCAAATATCTGACAACTAACAGCGAGGGCCACATTGAGACAATTTTTCAAGTGCAGGGGGCAAATTGATGCAATCAAAAGTAGAAGAGAGATAAAGTGATACCGAACCAAAGTATAAGGGGGAAAGTGGAACTTATCCAAATATTTATGGTTTTTTGAGTATATAAGAAAATTAATAAATTTGCATAGATTTAATTAAAAAGAGAATTACAAAAGTGATACGTTAATATAATATTTTGAGTAAATTACGATCACCGCATGAGGTAAGTTCAAGTTACGCAAAAATCTCCCATGTTTGGATAATTACATCCACCTCCACCAACTATGAATCTTCTTACACGTCCACTATTGTGGTGTCAAATGTAGTGAAATTTTTTATATTATGTAGAATTTTCTTCAGTTTAATTTGTACTTGTTTTATCCCATTCGAGCTCCATAGTTTGAAGCAAGATGATCATAAGATGTGTTTTTTGGCTTGTATATCAGATTGTGGTCCATCAGAAATTGCATTTTTGCGCAAAACGGGGACAAAGTAGAGAACATTCCATGGAATCTAGAAGAGATTCTGTTGAATTTTACACCATAAGAGTGGACGTGTAAGAAGATTCATAGTTGAGAGGATTAATGTAATTATCCAAACATGAGGTGTTTTTTCGTAATTTACTCTTACCTCAGGGTGACCGTAATTTACTCTAATTTTTTCTGCTAATTCATTTTCAACTAGTTAACAGTGATATAAGACCACATTTAGAAAAGTATTAGACATCCCAAATTTGACATTGCTAATTTATTTAATTTTAATGTTTAAAAAAGAAAGGCATAGTATAATAATAAGAGCTAATAGCACAGATCCCCTGTGTTATTTCTAATAGGCATAATAGCCCTCGTGATAAAATAATTAGCAAAGGCCCTCTTATGTTTGGTTTTATGTAGCATACTGCCCCTTTTATCAGATTTAATTGTTGACTTAAATGAAATGACAAAATTATCCTTAACTTAAAAACATAGAATACCCAAAACCCAATTGAAAAATAAGTAAAAAAAAAATTAGAGAGTCGTCTTCCCCATCAACCCACCCCACCCCCACCCAAAAAAATTCTTCTTCAAGGCCAAGAACCAGCAAATAATCCTCCTCTCTTCCTTCAGTTTTCCACCACCATACCAGCCGCCATTACCTATTCCCGCCGCCGCCCCATACTATATCGGTATTAGCCGTCCACCTCTCACAATCCAAATCAGCCGTCGACCACCGCACATTGCACACTCGAATCTCAGACAGGCGGAGTCCAGCAGCGGCGTCCCACGAAGTTCCGTCATAGTCGCATCTCAAATCTGTCTTATTCGTCGCCGTACATTTGTGGAAGCTGCTCGTGCCAATTCTTCGTCGACGGATTGTGATATAGTGTTGGTAATTGATTTGGTGGAACGGTTAAATTTGTCGTCGATTGAAGCGGTCAGAGTTCCTCGGGAGAGAAGGAACAGAGAAATTGGGATGCTTATCTTTCTCTTTGGCATTTGTCAGATTTTGGGGAGTGAAGGGTTTGGTGAGGTACCTTGCAAAAAATTTGTAGGAAAAAATCATGTCTGCAAAGTGGGCGAAATTAGGAAGCATTTTGTGTATCTATTGCGTGAAAATGGTGGAGAGTTTGATCGGGATGAGATGATTTGGAGAGAGGGCATTTTAGAAATTTTCAAGGACTGAATTGAAAATTCTAAAAGCTTTATTCTGGGGTTATGATAATTGTGGGGCTAATTTGTAATTTTCAACCTTTTATTTAAAATATATTTAGGTTTTTTCACATCAAAACATGCACCCGAGCTGCACAATGCGCGCGTGGAGAACACGAGAAGAAGTTAAGGGCCTTATTGGCTTTGACTAACTTTCATAGGGGGGTCCTTGCTAATTGTTTTAACATGAGGGGTTTTTCAGCAATTAGAGATTACACAGGGGTGGTTCTTGCAAAAAACCCATAATAATAATTATATATTGGCTCCATTAAATTTCAAATAATTAATAGCTCATCAGCCATGTTACCACCAACCATTATGATCCCCCGAAACACGCGTGCTGGACTTATATTGTTTAATTACTATAAGATTCATCATCAAACCTACTCTCGTATAATAGTTTGCAAACTGCACGAGAGACGACGTAAACTACACTAGACAGTCCATGTGTGACAAGCTCGACATAATTTACTGGAGATATTAATATTAAATGATACATTCAACTAACATCTTAAACTTTTGGTTGAGATCAGAGCCGGACCAAATGAATATTCGTGTTTATGTTATATAACAGCCAGCAGCATTATAGATAAAAAAAAAAAAATAATAGAAACTTATTTTAATTCTGATTCTGTATATATATGTTACTGTTTGAACAAACAAGTAGAGACGAAAAGCCACAGGCGCCAGTGCCCATTTTTTTTTTTGTGTTTCACTAATTTTCTGGCCTTACTTTTTCTGTTCACTTTTACAGGGCAAAAAGAATAAACAAAAAAAGAATAAGATTTAGAAGCAGAATTTACGTGCACAAAAATACACACACACGACACACAGTATTCACGAGATCGGAAACAGAAGGCGGCCTTTTTTTGCCTGTGAAGTTGACACCAGCGCATTTTATGCAACACCCCTGAGGCTTTTGCTAACGTGCGCTAATGGTAG